TATTTGTGTTCGTGCTGATCACTCACCTTACATTAGGTACCACAGAGCACAACAGAAAGCCTGCCTGAGGCAAGATGGCCGCCGGTGATGACGTTTGAGACTCCGCCGTAAGACATCTAGCCTTTATTATGGATATCTATGCTGCCAAGTACATCCCGCTGAATCGAAACTGGGCTTGAACAGTTCGACGCTGCGGAGCCAGAGCTGCGCTGAGCTCCTGTGCGCCATGGCCCTCACAAATACTGGAAACCCTGTTTCTATTCTCAACGACTATTCGCAGAAACTGAGTTTGAAGCTGGTTTATGAAGACCTGGGCTTTGAGGGCCCCGACAATAATAGACAGTGAGTGTTTATAATGTTTCTGTCAGAGAGAACCAGTCCAGTCAGAACTGATATAGTTATTCATTATAACTTATTGTAGCGGGATTGTACACTCTTATAATTAAATTATGTTTTTGTTCCTTTAATACATGAAGTTTACTTTGTGTTTTTTATAGAAAGTAGTAAACTAAACTCATGAGGAAGCGCCTTTGTAACTTTGTTAGATTATGTGAAGAAGAACTATTTTTTTTTTCTGGAAGCGCTTGTTAGTATTTGTTTTTCTTACAAATAGTTTTTCAAAAATATTGTTTTTTCTAAAGTTTCCTTTCTGCTTTAGATGATTAGTTCCTCCTGTTTGATTTGCAGAGGCGTAGCCAGAAAATCCTAATAGGGGGGCCCAATAACCAATGTACATAAAGGGGTGGCCGAAAGGCACCAGAACCTCAGGGTCAATCTACCATGTTCCAACAGGAACGAGCACAACATACATATTTTCTAATTAAAGACAAACTATACTTTCCTACAGCCTTTGCTAACAAATAGATGCATATTTTTAAACATCTACGCTGTGTAAATAAAAGGTATAGTGGACAAAATTCTTTCAGGTTGAGTTCTGAGGCGAACATATTTTACCTTGTCATGGCCTATTTTATCAATAATCAGTCTGCAAAAAAAAAAAAAGATATTTAAATCTACTAATTCCAAAATTAATGAATTTTTGTGTTATTATTTGAGTAGTTATTTATCTATGATTTCACGGAAGACTCGTAGATTAGAGACTGACACAGGAGTGGATTTTCACTCCTGTCCTGTCCCACTCCCACAGAAAAAAATGGTGT